TTTTTTAATTGGCTCAAAGAGAGAAGTGGCCCCTCTTGTTATGTAGAATCTTTGGTGGAACCCACGGGGAGGCAGGGATGCTGGGATGTTTTATCTCTCTCTCTGCCAAGGTTGGCTCTGATAGGGAGGGTCAGAACAGACCTCGTCCAAAACGATTTAAATTGTGACGTTGGCGGCGCCAAACACCAAGAATCACATACTTTTCTCACACAATGGACACCGTATCAATTATTTCTCTCTTCACGTTCCCAGTAAGTACACTGTCATGTTACAGTTCACGCAATGTAGATCTACTTCCCAAATAACAGCTCACAAACAGAACGATACTCAAGATGAAATTATAGACATAATATTAGTGAGTCTCTAGCCATTCATCTAGACGTTTCCTTTTGCTTGCTATTTATTATCTACTGGGCGCACAAGCAATGAACAAGGGGTGACACTATCGTCTCATTACGTCACTCACGAGTCTTCAGCTCCATTCCCCTTTCTGTGGTACACAGACAAGGTAACCCGACTCGTAGCTAGAAAATAAATGTTGAATAAAAGTAACAAGAAAAAAACGGTAAACAATAAAGAAAATAACTCTTCGCCAGCTACCATCCTTGTGGAGTTGCAACGGGACGTCTTCTTCTTCTTCTTCTTCTTCTTCTTCTTCTTCTTCTTCTTCTTCTTCTTCCTCCTCCTTCTCCTCAAATGTCCGATCTGACCCAGACACGGCAGGACATTGCTGGCCACACATTCCTCTGTTCCGCTCTTTGACAAAAGCTACATGTTTCTCCCGGTCTTCGGCCCTGAGCTGCCTGCCTTCAGTCTAGAGTCACTCTGATGGAGATACAGGCCTGGGGAAACAGAGGAAAGTTTTGATAAATTTGGACGATCTTTTAGCTCAGTTGGTTTCCTGCTGGACCTAGGAGCGACTAGGTTTGAAGAATACCACTCATTTCGTCACACCCGTGCAGTAAAGACTTCCCAGTCATATCGTCACACCCCAAATCCACAACGATTTCGTCACACACTTGCAAAAATCAAACGTTTACCACCTAGAACGCTCAGATCATGAAGTGACAAAACAACCCTTGTTAAACCTACAATAAATTACAAATCATATGGCCAACGCTCTTTTTCATATTTTGCCCATCTCGTTTAGAATAGACTTCCAAAAACTATCAGATAAGCAGAAAATCTAAAAAAAATTAAAGAAAAAACTAAAAACATTTCTATTTTCATCATATTTCGATTAGACAGAATCCATCCAATTTGTAGATCGTCGTGAGTTTGTACGTGCGTATGAATGTACGTATGTGTGTATGTGTGTGTGAGTGCGTGCGTGCATGAGTATGTGTGAGCACGCGTATGTAATACTATGTGCCTATAAAATTGATTTGTAAATCCATAATATGTTTCATGGTAAGCGTATAGAGCATTGCATAAGTGGATATGCGCTATGTAAATGCAATCCATTAGTAGTAGTAGTAGTAGTAGTAGTAGTAGTAGTAGTAGTAGTAGTAGTAGTAGTAGTAGTAGTAGTAGTAGTAGTAGTAGTAGTAGTAGTATAGCGGGTGTGTGTGGAAGGACGGGGGAGGGAGGGGGTGCGAGTGGTTGTGCCCACCTGATCAGCAACACCCACTGCTCATAGCTGGGTGACTTCTGTTGAGTTGTTTAAAGTGAAAGATTTTCCCACAGTTGTCCCTGCCAAGTTTCTGACTTGGTGAGGGGGTTTTTTAATTGTTTTTATTGGTGGAGGGGAGGGGTGGCATAAACCAAACAAGGCATTGCTTGGTGAGCTTTGGTTGTTTTGTGTGGGTTCTTAAGGCTTTCCACCCATTTTGCTTCGTCCCATCAGATATAACAAAACATTATGAGGTCCCGCCTCTTAGATTCAATTGGAAGTCAGAAGTACGGGTGAGGTCCTGCACTAAAGTAAAGTTGTTCCAGCATCCGATCAGACATTGGGGATTGCCTTGTTAGTGAGACAACTTCCTGGGCTTTCGGCATATTGTGGTAGGGTGGCCAGTTCCTTTCCACGCCGCCTTTACTTCCCCAACTCGAAATCAGGTACCCATTACCTGCTGGGTGGACAGGAGGGGGCCAATATCGAACCCGTACTTTCCGTTTCGGAGACGAGAGCACTAACCTCTCCGCCACCGCACCCTCTTGGTGAAGTAACAGAAACACAACGGTAATGAAGATTATGTTATCAGAAAAACATTTATTGTATGTAGGAACATGTTCCCTGAGACATCTTTGAAATAGTTGCTCCGCGTCTTTTTTTCTTTTTTTTTCTTTTTTTGGGGGGGTGTTTTACGACATGGGTCATTTGGGTAGTAATTAATTTTGAATGTTTGCCCGCTAGACGGCCGAAATCTACTCTTATCCTTTTTGGGGCCACCAAGCAATCTTTATACGGGGTGCCCATTACGGATGGGGTCGGCGGGTCGGGCTGATCGAACGACTCGGTCACCATGAAAACGAACGTGTTTGTTTTCATGGGTAATGGGCTCGCCGTATGAGCGATCGCAACTACGTACTCGAGATTTTTTCGCCCTTATCCGAGAAGGCTATGTGTTAGATCTCACCTACCCTAAGATCGCTCTGCGTCTGAACCAGTCAAAGTTAGTATGGCGCATGTAAAACGAGCTGTTGAGATGTTATTGGAGCTTCAACACTCATCTCTGTCTACATTGTCCTAGAAAAACAAGTACCATAGTTTGGAAAAACAAAGAAAGCTAAGAGTGACGAAGGGTTTGCTTATTTAAAAGTAATCCATCGTTGAACAAATAAGATGTTGTCAGAATGTATAAGGGGCTATAGATCCAGCTATCATTAACTGCCGACCTTGTAATATTTTCGAAATACACAAAGACGACAAAAATCAAATATCAATCGTATTCATGTTCCATCTTCGTGTTTTTAAATTCTAATTGGTGAGAAAATATGTTATAATTGATACGAAAACCTTGTTAGTGAAACAATGCTGTTGTGGTTACAACTGATCCCATCAACTCAACGTCTCGTCGTAATTTCCCGGGGTAGAACTCCCCTGGCTATTGCCGCTGTCGGATCTGTAATCTGGCCCAGAGCTAACAATTTTTTATTGACGTGTTATTATGAAACCCCTCCGCAGTGCGTTCGATACGCCAATTTGTTTGAGAAACTTCGCGATAATTGTCAGAATGGAAGTTTGCACACGACCTTTGAAAATTCTATAACAAACGACTCGTTAGAGGATAAGACAGTTTAGAGAAAGGGTATTGAGATAGATGGAGTCAATACTTATTCCAAATTGAATCATATAAATTTTCATTCGTTACATTAGGGGGGTCAATTACTGAGCATTTATTGATCAGATAAAATACCCAGAGGTTCGTTTAAAAGAATATGCTCCTAAAGTCAAGAGAGAACTCTGAACGAACAAGTAAAATACTGTTTCTAAGGTAGGCCAAAATGTTAAAGAATTTCATTGTCTATCTTCTTGATTTAGTCAAAATAGAACATTTAAGAAAATAAAATTAGAGACTTTTCGAGAAACACTTTGGCTGTTTGGAAAAATTAATGAGAAAGTGTGAGAGTTCAAGCAGCTCTCTTTCAAAGTCAGAGCAAACTGCATGTCTCTTCCAGCCGCACAATACGTTAGCGTTACTTGTTCATATCTTGTTGTTTGAGTTTTATATAAAATGTTTTAGGCCTCAAGGTTAACTCCGACACATTTGGTGTAACCGCTAGTCTCTTCGCTGTAGCTCGCACAGGACGTGAGTTCCATTCCTATTTGGAATTATTTTTGCCAAGCGTTTCCGTCTGTCTTCAGGCATGATCTCTTACTTTGAAAAGTGTTTCCGTCTGTCTTCAGACATGATCTCTCACTTTGCCAATTGTTTCCGTCTGTCTTCAGGCATGATCTCTCACTTTGAAAAGTGTTTCCGTCTGTCTTCAGACATGATCTCTCACTTTGACAAGTGTTTCCGTCTGTCTTCAGGCATGATCTCTCACTTTGAAAAGTGTTTCCGTCTGTCTTCAGACATGATCTCTCACTTTGACAAGTGTTTCCGTCTGTCTTCAGGCATGATCTCTCACTTTGAAAAGTGTTTCCGTCTGTCTTCAGACATGATCTCTCACTTTGCCAATTGTTTCCGTCTGTCTTCAGGCATGATCTCTCACTTTGACAAGTGTTTCCGTCTGTTTTCGGGCATGTTGTAATATCTTTCAATTTGTTTTGGCCCTGTCCGGCAGGACTGAAGCAGCCTTCCCTCTAGAAGACCTAAATAGTATCGATATGAACACTAAACATCTACAATTACACAGTTATATCGATTTTAAACTTTTCTGCTCGCTGTGGTGATCCAAAGATTGACAGATAATGGTAGACAGCGTGAAAGACGAACAGTTCCAACTGTGATCTATAAGACTGTATAAATCAATTCAGCTTCAAGTTGGGATAATTAGAGAGTATCTGACTCTCTCTACCTTAAAGTCAAAGTAGCTTGAAGTACAAGGAGCGAGAGAATGGGAGGTACATTTATTGGTGGGGTGGAAAAGGGGGAGGGGGGGTCGTACATCTTTCTGAGGAATCTACCGCCGTTAAAAATGACTACTGCACTGTTTTGTACAATAGCTAATATCAATAATATAAGACAGTGTAAAACAATGATTCAGCCTGCAAGATCTAAACAGAAACATGTAAAAAATACATGAACATAACTGTTGCTGTTAAAGAAACCCTTTTGTTTGCTTTAAAGCGAGTTTTTACCTGTTCTTTTTCAGAGATCGGTGCACAAAGCTGTGCCTCATACCAAGAATTTGGAGGAGTCACTGCACATAAGGAAAACGCAGGAGTCGTTATCTGACAAAGAATGAAAACAATATAACAAGGTGAAACAGACTCTTCCACTCTTGCCATTTAAAAGAAAGCATAGTACGCAATGCAGCTCATAGGGATTGCAATGTTTAACGCTACGACAGAGGTCGAAGAAGGAGAACGTGTCTCCTATAGGTTTGGCGTCATGACGCCAGCACAGTACCACGTTCTGTTGCAGGTCGCACAAGGTCCCTGGATGATCCTGGCAGCCTCTGGAGTTATCTTCAACTGCCTAAACCTGGCCACTTTCATCAGGATGGGCCTGAAAGATTGTGTCACAGTCTCGTTTTGCTTCCAGTCTGTGTATGACCTCTGTACTTTGATTGTAAGGAGCGTGCATTTGTTGTCCATACTGTTAAGAATTCTCATCGTAGATTATGGCATTTACTATAGACTGGACCCTTTTGTTGTCACTATCATGTGCACTCAGCTCCGTAGCTGGTTCTACACTCCCTCGGTACTCACCACGACATTCTTGGCAATAGCCAGGTGTTTGTGCGTTTACAAACCACTAAAATTTAAAACTATTCTGTCGACGAAACGAACCTACTGGGTTCTCTTTTCTTTTCTAGTCTTCGCCTCGATCATCCACGGATTCCGTTATGGGGGTATGGAAATCAAAGAACGGTTCAGTTCTTTTTACAACAGGACCCAACTGATGCTAGTTCTGACCAGTTCGTTTCAAGACCGGAACAATGTCGAAGATATTATAGGTCAATCTTTTGTCACATTCTCTACTTTTGTCATAGTCCTGTTTAGCGTGTTTATCATGAAGCGTAGCCTTCAACTGTCGGCACAGTTTCGCCTTCAAAGTACCGCGCGGGGCATCGAGGAGGACGCGGGTCAGAAATCAGCGTCCCTTGGCGGGAAAGAACTTCAGGCCTTAAGACAAGTCTACGTCGTCTGTTTGATATTTGTCGTTTGCAATACTCCTAGGATTATCATTTTCGCGTGTGCGGCCTTAATTCCCGGTTTCCAGCTTGAAGGCTTGTTCCAGTACACATTGATGGCCTGCTACTGTCTCCGTTTGACCAGTGAAAATGTCAGTATGTCGGTTAATATCTTTGTGTACTATAAGTTCAATACAAATTTTCGACGTATCCTTAAGCAGACTTTATTTTCAAAAAAGACTAAATGAAGTTTCAGACAACATCTGATGTCGGGGTCGTGTGGTCCATCGTTTTTTTTTCTTCTCTCCTCCACTCACTGCACCTTCTGAAATAATCTTTCCAAGTTCACTTGGTCGAGTAATGTGGCCGTGGTGTGTTAGCTTTGTGATCTCCGTTGTTGTAAGGATGTCATCTCGGGGGGGGGTGTCACTATTGTGCTGTATGGTCTGGGGGACTTCTTTATGGTCGTGAAATAGAGAAGAACAGATAATTTTCACCTAGGGCTCGATATTCCCATACCATAAGAATGTGACAGTAAACTCTGTGAAAAATAGAAGTATCATGAACACTTTGTCAGTTGAGAACATCCGCAACACAGGCAAATACGACCTTACAGCTAGTAACTGAGTATTCGTAAGTTTTCTAGAATCAGCCACACCGGAATAGTAAGTATCTTCCAATATACATAGTATTCACAGCCATGGGGTGCCGCCCTGGCTCATAACTTGACATAATTTAATGACACGTGACTGCTCTCATGCACGCGTATTGTCAAAGATAGCCCATGCCATTCTTTGATGTCGTCGGGCCACATTTTGTGTTGTCCTCCCTTAACCCTTGTGCCTCATGTCTTGCCTTGGAGAATTTTCTTCAAAATTATTTGATGACGTTTTATACGACCGGAGTATTGTTCTTTTCTCTGCTTCATTTTGTTGTGCAAGATTTGTCTTGTAAGCTGCTTTCATACCCCACACGTTTGGTGCCCCCTGTAAAAGGCCAAAGACTTCTCTGGTGGAGATCTTTCTACCTGGAGACGAATCACAGCGCCAGATATGGACCATAAAATCCTTGCCAAAATCTGGGATGAAAATTAAATATAGAAGATACCCAAGAGTTACTTAAGCTGTGAATTTTGGAGGCCTGTATTTTTCTCTCAAGCTCTACTGTAAGGGTGGTCGTTCGTATCAATTAAATAATGCTTACAAAGTAATAGAGAACACCAGTGCTGGAACTAGTCGTATGCTGTACTTGGTTGTGTTATTCTCAATGTTGTCTGAGAACCGTGAGTACATTCTATCACGTGAGTTGAGTGTTATGCTCCGGCATGGAAAGAAACTAATAAGTCGCAGCGAATTGATTTGGTTGCTGTAATAAAATTATGATAACATGGAATCCAGTGAAAAAATAAATGGTGGTGTTGTCCCAACCCAGAAGTCTGTGATATGGCATGAGGTGAATTCTGTTTGATGTGTTGACTGAGGGTCTTTAAAAAAAAGAAAGAAATATATTCATACTTCGATTCAGGTGGTTGGTTTGTTCATGTACGTCGAATTGTGTTACTGTACAGTGCCTTCCCGTTTGGAGAAACTTTAGTTACTCTTTTTTCTCACGGGGTGGGGGGGGGGGTTGGAGGTGGTCTGAGTGTTGTGGAGGGGGTCTGTGTTGGTGGCTTGAATCCCCTGAGAGAGTTCACGTGTAAAAGTTAATGTTGAGCCCTCTTTCTTAATGTGGTGACATGTGGTGAAATGTTATAGGTTTAACGCCGTATCAACACTTTTAAGCTTCTTCATTAAAGTTTATTAAAAAGTGTCTTTGGCGCAACACGTTACGGCGTCTCATTCGTGGCCTTTTTGTATGTGGAAAACCTGGATGTGTGTGCACTAGATCGAGTAGGTTCTGAGTGGAGGGATAAAGTTTACTGTTACCGTTCAAGGTATGTTATGGATGTCCACTCATCAGTACACACACTGCAGGCCCAGCGTAGTCTATGAATCTCAGGTAAATGACACTTGGTCCGAGATTTTATATATACATGTACATGAATATATATATATATATATATATATATATATATATATATATATATATATATATATATATATATATATATATATATATATATCCGATACCTCAGTGCTTTCTTGTCATCTCTCTTTTTTTACAGTGAAAATGTGACTTCTTCTTCTTCAACTCACTCTATTTTATGAACAGTTTTCACTTTTATCAAAGATGGAGATTTGACACGAAAGCACTGAGGTCGAGATATATTGAATAGGTTTATCGCCCCTCGCAATACTGTAAGATTATTTAAGACGCAGGACCTTCGAATTTAACAGCCATCTCCGATAGGACAGAGGCATTTGGAAAAACCTGTGTAAAGTGCAAGTCCCAAGGACACAACATCGGACTGGGATTGGTTTCGTACCCCGAAACCCTCAATCTCACAAATACGAGTCCGGTAGTTTAAGCACTAGACTACAGACGCTATCTTGGTCAGAAAGAACGGTTGTAAGTGTATACGTTTTACAAAAACGTCACAATGATAACTTTATTTCTCGATCAGAATAAAACGTTACCATTTCACAAGATAAACCCACGCGTGTTTGTTAACATCCAAAAACCGTCTATTTTGAGGGTAGAACATTAATTCATTGTGCAGGGTGTCCAAAAATTCGCGCATCCCATCCTGAAACATACGTATTGGTACAGATGCTCAAATTGAGCACCAAAAAGCTGTTTTTCACTTGCCTTGTGGTATCTGGATGGATGTTGTGACACTTAATTGTGATTGCATGTCTCAATTCGTCAAGAGAGCGTGGACTGAGGGGGGGGGGGGGGGACATATTTTTTACTACGGTGCGCAACTTTTTGGACGCGCTATTGACACAGTTCACGTGACCAAAGAGTCTACATAACAAGATGGTCCACTCCTCTCTTTGAGCCAATTAAAAAAGTGTCCTCAAAATTCGGTGGCGCCCTCTTCGCAAATGCGCACCCTTTGCGAACAGAGTTATCCTACTTGTGTTTAAAAAAATCAAAGTGAAACTAACAAGTTTTTGAATAAATAAGAATTCAAATTTCGGAAGAACGCTTTTTTAAAATGGTTACGCTGACAAAAAAAAACTTGCTTTCTTCGTTTAATTTGACTTTAGAATGAAAGGCGAGAGATCATTTTTTTTAATTAAAAAAACCTCCGCACTGAACGAACCCGAACTGCTGATGAACACGCAAGGAGGTGCTATTCCTATTCTTCTTCTGGAGAAACGAAAGAGAGCTTCAAAACAGACTGCAGCGCCATCTGAAGCAAAGAGCGGACTTCCGGCGGACACTTTTTTGGCTGAGTGGACCATCTTGTTATGTACGATCTTTGACATGACTAACGAGGCTGACTGCTTCAGTCCTTTCTGTGAGGACCAACCCGGGCTGTACAGGATTCTATGTTCACACAGGAAGATCGCGACATTCTCGGTACAAATTAGTCCTTGAAGGTAATCAAACTCGTTCGTTTTGAGTGCAAAAACTTAATTATATCTCATGTTGACTGAACATTGTAATTAAATCGACAAAATTGAGATCATTTAGGAGGTGCACTACCTTGTCTCTACCTGCCAGGTCCAAGCCAAGCAGGAAAGGATACGACATTCAAACAGACAGAAATACTCGATAAAAAGCCTCTCTACCCGGCAGGAAAACCTTACAAGATAAAATAATATAGTATACATCAGTCAACCCAGAATGGAATTTGTTCTAAAGTGACATGCAGAGGTATTCATATTTTTCTTTTGGACCACTTCTGTTGAAAATTATTCTCAAAACTCTTGCAAAAATTTTTACGTGATTTGAACACAAAGAGACCTAAAAAGGTGTCAAGAGGAAAGCCAATACTTTTATTATATACATAAATTGCTTTCAATTCTGCAAGATATATCCAAATTTCAATAGATCCTGTCGATGTATAAATGAGATATGCCTTTTATGGCATTACATACTACAAGACTACAAGAGTGTCGGATAGGAAGAAAAAAGAGAAAAGTATCTATTTTACTTTATACACATGTAAATCAACATTAAAAAACTAACAGTTTTTGCTATATAGGCTGAATTAGAAATGACTAAAATGTACAAGCAGTATTTGTGAATTTTAAGCTGACCGATAAAATTTTATGCGGAAAAAACTCTCTAGGACCAGTACAATAATATTTACAGACTACTGCTGAGGATCGGATACGAGTTACCAAACCTTATGATAATCTAGAAGACGGTTTCTATCATCTCGCAAACATAGGAGAGTGTCACAAGCAGTACACAGGGATCTGGTTTTCAATATTGATTAGTTTTTATAATAAAGTTTACAGTTTTTTCTTTGACTTGATTTGACCATGCCTGATATGATTGTGTGAACCATGAATACTTTTGGCTTTGAAGCAGTATGGAATTTCAGCGTAATCATCTATCTTTGCCAACTGCCTGATCAGTTCTGTAAACGCAAGTTGATTATATTAGATCTATACTCTTTAGACCTCTTTTGTTCTTCTAAATCTGGGGTTTGAATTTCCCAGCCCTGACAAAGAATAGCTGCTTACTCTTCCAATGTCTAAAAAGGGAGAAGAGATTAGATCTACTTGATACGATAGTAAAAAAAAAAGGAAAAACACCATAAAATCTAAGATCGTCAACATAAGCATCAGCTGACGGGCTTGATTCTCATCTTCATTAGACTCAGGGGGTTCTTTATCCTCCCAAAGCTCCTCTTCTCTTGAAACATTTGCAACTTCTTCGCCAGAACTGCATTCTGAAACTATCATTTTATTTGTGCTGAGCAGTGAGCAGCAAAGTTTACGGAATTCAAAATGGCGGACCGAAAGGTAGATGAGCGTATAGATCTGTCTTTGTTTCGATTGAGGTTTTTGTTAGAAAAAAATGCATTCTTTTAAAAAGTTTCGGTTTCATCTGCTAAAGAAAGGATTCATCTTTTAAAAACACGAATTTTGATACCCAACAAATACCAGATTATTATGAAAATTACCGCTCGCAAACTCATCGACCACCGTGGGTCGAAATCCTGAGTTTAAAAAAAGTTTGAGGGTTTAAAAAAGTTAAGTGCAGCTATGCGGCTGGTTTTGATTCCTAGTTTCAGCACGCTACCAAACCACAGT